TATGAAGGTAAAGAGAAACATAGAGGGGGGAGGTCCCACAGGCTGCTATTGATGCATTGAGTTATTCAGGGCTCTTGACTTTAGGCCTCAATTACAGCCATTTGGCTGGAGCACTAACGTGTGGAGTCGCGGCTGTGGCGAGTCCGGTCCACATTGCCCGACCCTGTGCTTGTCCCCTGGGCAGTGCTTTGTTTTTTTAGCAGGCGGCTAGCTCAGGCCGCTTTTAGCCTCTGCTTTTATACATCTCTGGCATTATTTTTTCCCTGCTTGCTCCAGCTGTGTCTGCCCCAACCACTCCTCGTGCTCCACTGCATGTGGAGGAATGGAGTAATCAGACATTGACGCTGCACAGCTCTCTGCATGCATGAATGAATTCAGTGACATCTTCTGTCTCTGCTCCAATCAAAACAGAGGCCTCCAGAGACTTCAGAAGTGAATTTGGGATTCAGGTGCCCTTAGCTGAAGCTGTGTCCCAAATGATGTACTATACATTGTGCACATAAATGTCATCTAGTATAATAATTTTAGCAGGGTAGTGTCTCAAATGGAGCACTTAGTGTATTTCAGTGTGAATGCACTACTAGCACTACTGTACTTATGCTACCATGTGGCGCAGAACAGTGTAAAAGTTTGCAAAATGGGACACACCTTTCGCTCTGAGAAAAACTGTGCAAAATTTGAAGCTTGTCACTGAATCAGTACGTTCAAAGGGATTTCTTTGTACCTTATTTAACCCTAAAAGGTTCATGGTAGTACCTTAAGGGTACTCTAATGGCTCATTTCCACTGAGTGATATGTGTCAGTACAGTACAGTATGGTATGATTTGGGACAGTACACCCTTATCTGGCTTGCGTTTCCACCACCAACAGTACCCTAACTTGATAGGCTTGGTGTATGCTGGAAAGGAGCAATCAGTGTCATTCTCACGCAAAGAAGAAAGCGCAACATTGTCCGTGTGAAAATATGAAATCATAAAATGCACGGTTATATTTTTTTGTTTTTGCACACTCTGATGTAAGCAAGCCTAACATGCATGAGCAGCATGGCAGAACAAGAGATTCTCCTTGTGCTGTCATTGATTCTCTGTCAACCAATCAACGCTCTGCAGTAAATCTAGCTGCACCCTTCAGCTACCGAACTACTGTGCTAGGTACCCCAATGGAAAAAAGTGGTATAGTTTGCTATACTGAAAAAATTATTCATTGAATTTACAAAAAAAAAAAATTAAGGTAAATGTTTGCAATCAATTTATTTTTGCTACATTGAAATAATCAAATTTAGTTGACTAAATAAAAAAAAAATGTTAATTAAATGTAGTTAAAATAAATTGTTTGCAACCACTTATTTAAAACAAATTTAGTATCATTTTTTTCAGTGTATTTTGGTACCATTCACAACTTCTGACAATGGAAACAGACATAATTGCATACTGTACTGTGCTGAACCGAACCGTACCACTTGGTGGAAATGAGTCGTTAGGTATTAATATGCACCGTTTATGGTAGAATTGTCCAATCCTGCTCCTGGAGGGCCAAAGTCCTGCAGATTATAGAACAACCCTGCCCCAACACACTTTCCTGTAAGTTTCTAGCATGCCTGAAGACTTTGATTAATTGGTTCAGGTGTGTTGAATTAGGATTGGACCTAAACTCTGCATGATCGTGGCCTTCCAGGAGCAGGATTGGACAACCCTGTTTTAGGGGTAGATAAGGTACAAAGTTGTTCCTTTAAAGGGGTCATATGATGTGATTTAAATTTTTTCTTTCTCTTTGGAGTGTTACAAGCTCTTGGTGCATAAAGAAGATCTGTAAAGTTGCAAAGACTAAAGTCTCAAATCCAAAGAGATATTCTTTATAAAAGTTAAGAGTCAACCACGCCTACCTAAAATGGCTTGATCTAACACGCCCCCACATGTCTACGTCACTGTGTGGGAAGATTTGCATAACACCGCCCAAATGTTCACGCAAAGAAAGAAGGCGTAACTTTTATTCTCGCTGTAGTATTGTTGTTGCCGCCGCCGCCATGCCGTGAAGGCGCTGTGTGTTTTGTTGTGAAAGCGAAACTACTTTGTTTGGCCTTCCAAAAGAGGACGATATCTGCTTCATCATGCCTGGAGCTGATCCGTGCTGGTCGCTGAGGAAATACATCAACTTCGCACTGTGGATCGCTGGATCGCTTTCACCGACGCAATGCGTAAAATGACAGTATAAATCATTATAATCCGTAATTATGTCCCCACTGGACAATAAATGCCTCGTTTATAATGGGTTTTAATGTTTTTGTCTCGTCGCTCCGGCCGGACAGGGCATCACAATATGGTAGGGGCATAACATTTCTGTCACACGCTTGAGATATTCGGCCAATCACAACGCACTGGATAGCTGGCCAATCAGGGCACACCTCACTTTTCAGACCGATGAGCTTTGTAAAAATTGACGCGTTTCAGAAAGGTGGGGCTTAGAGGAGAAACAATAATGTACAGTATGTGGAAAATAATGTTTTTTGAACCTTAAACTGCATAAACACGTTTCACCAAATAATGTTCTTTTTAGCAACATCATTTGACCCCTTTAAGGGTACTGCCATTGTGTGAAGCGGTTTTATCCCTAAAGTAAAATTTTGGGATTTTTCTAAGAGTGTTTTAAAAGAGAATTAGTGGAGTATGGAGGCTGTTAAGACCCTACAAGGTTTATCATCCAGTTTGAGGGCGCTGCCCCTCTTTCCCCTGAGGTTGTTAGGGACAGCAGGAAGCGGTGAGGGAAAAAAAGCTGCTATTACCTTGAGGGGAGTGAAAGAGCAGCTCACAGAACACCGAATCCCACCACAATCCACAAGAACGCCATTCCGAAGTACGAAAACAACTAAAAACAGAGTTGTTTACAAGTTAATAGTGGAGAAACACCAAGTTGCCCATGCTCTTTCTCTCTCTCTTTCTCCTCCTCCCCCTCGGCACTCAAGTTCCCTCTCCCTCCTGCACACCCTTTGTTGGTTAGTTCCGTGGGTAGCCCTGGTGCCCATGTGAGAACCCGGCAGACCCAGTTAACAGCAGATGAAAGGTTCCCTGGCTGGCATTATTTGAAAGGCACCCATCTCCCTCTGTTTTGGCCCGGGTGTCCTCTTATTTCACAGGGCAAATTAATAACTCTGCTACATCAATGGACTCTCGCTAAAAGAGCCTGGGTTGGCGTCTGGACCACTGCCATCGCCCGGTTGACGGGGAACAGCCGCTGCTGTGTTGCCTTTAAGGACGTGGGCTCTTTTCTTGACGGCAGAAGGGATTTCTGACTGGATCTGACCACTTCTGAGGCATTGTCAACAGCCAAGTTCAACAGGCAGGCCTGCAAGAAGCCATATCTTTATTTACGTCCATCAAAGGGAAGAGGACATGCTCAGTGGGATCCACACGCTCTGTAATTGTGTCTCTGTGATCTCCAAAGTCAAGATGCAAAAACTTGAAAATATGCTCATCCACTGCATTCCATTTATGCATGCTGGGATTGCTCAAACGTACCTGGTTCCCATGAGGACTTGGGTACCTGTAGATAAAATCACCTATCTGTGGAAGGTGAGCTATAGTGGAAAGAAGTCACCAGTAAGTTAGGGAAGCGCTTGGCCAAAGTTCTTCAAGACTCCAGTGACTGTAACTCATGAAGTGCTTATTTCATATTAAGAATATATTTAGATTAATGATCCAGATACAGGGCGGCATGGTGGCTCAGTGGGTAGCACTGTCGCCACACAGCCTGGGACTCCCTGCTGAGCAATGAGGCCTTTCTGTGGGGAGTTTGCATGTTCTCCCTGTGTTGGCATGGGTTTCTTCTGGATGCTCCACAATCTAAAGAGATGCAAGTGAATTGGAGAGACAAAAAAGTAAATTGATGCGAGTGAATATGTGTGTTAGCCCTCTGATGGTCTGCCCTGTGGGGTTCCATGTGATCCTACATGGGACAAGCGGTTAGGAGAATGGATGGACTGGTCCAGTTAAGGTAGAAAACCGTTATAGTTCAATATAAATAGCCATTAAGAGAGTTTTAAACAACCAACAGGGAAGGAATAAAAATTTAATGATTGATTAGAGGAACAATGGGCCATGATGGTAAGAATGAGGGATGGGAAAAATGGCCACAATTTCACACTGACCTGCACCAAATGGTCAAAGTGAAAGTGAGTTTGATTGGAAGAGTCACAGTAGTGTTTTCCTCATCCACTCAATTACTCTCTTTTACTCCTTGTTCCAAATTAGGACATACCAACCCCCAAACTTAAAATACTTTGATATTTACAGACATAAATAATAAAAAAAATAAAATAAATCAACACCAAACACCATGTCTGTTAAATTTGCTTTTGAAATGGGCACAAAACCACTAGCCCCTTTCCGGCAAATATTTGCAGAGCTAATTTGGAAGACTTGGGTCTGTTTCCTTTCCCTCATTTAAAGAGAAAGTGAACAGACTTCGAGTGTCGTGGATATATCTGTTCTTAAGGTGCTGACCACTGGCTACCTCCACACAGTCATGACTTGTGTAAGTGGAGCGTCTTCTCTCAGTGCTGTAGAATAGAGCTGCTCCTGTGTAACAGTCTTCCAAGCTATATGCTCCTGTCTTTACCAGCTTCATCTTCAATTAGAACAGTGAACCCCTCATGCAGGTCCCACCACTGCCCATTACCTTAGCAAAGGCCAGCACACAGTGGAGCTCTGTCCTTTAATATTTGATACAAATAAGATCCATTGAGCAGCTGATGTGAATCGAACCTGGAACCAGGAGGCTGTAATATACAGACCAAAATTTTTTCAGCTCAACTGAATTTTCACAATGCTTGTCCATAAGCTATAATGAATTGCCATGAGGGTCAATGCAGATAAGGATGCCCAAGATGACAAAGGAGAAATAATTTAGAAATCTAGTACAAATGTCATGATTTTTAAAGTCACAAATATTGAGAGTTATTCCATTTGATTTAAAATGTGCAATTTTTTTTTAATGGCCTGACACATAGTTATGAGGGTCTAAAAGATCACATGACACCAAAATGGCTTCCTTCCTGTTTATTACACCATACTGGATTTGATCTGGCTGGACAAATAAATGTTTTCAAATATTAATATTTGAAAACAAAATGGCTTTACTGCTTATTTTTTTGAAAACATTGCCAAACTACTTCTGCAAACAACATCCCTATTTCTTCCTTCTTTTTTTAAAGAGTGTCAGTATTTTCTCTTATTTCTAGACACCACTTTACTTTTATGTAACATTGCATAACAATAGATCAGGACAAAAAAAAATCACTTGTCTTTGACTCATAAGTAACGTCGTTACACCTGTCACCCTAAATGAACAGCCTAAACAAACGGGCGTCTTCTGATGAATAAATGAACAATCATTAAAAACGAATGCGCCAGGTTCTAGTCTAGTGTGTTTCCTGAAGCGTATCAATGTTATAAAGAGGTAGGGGTGCTTTACTGCTTATTTTTTTGAAAACATTGCCAAACTACTTCTGCAAACAACATCCCTATTTCTTCCTTCTTTTTTTAAAGAGTGTCAGTATTTTCTCTTATTTCTAGACACCACTTTACTTTTATGTAACATTGCATAACAATAGATCAGGACAAAAAAAATCACTTGTCTTTGACTCATAAGTAACGTCGTTACACCTGTCACCCTAAATGAACAGCCTAAACAAACGGGCGTCTTCTGATGAATAAATGAACAATCATTCAAACGAATGCGCCAGGTTCTAGTCTAGTGTGTTTCCTGAAGCGTATCAATGTTATAAAGAGGTAGGGGAGGGCAGCAGTCGCTCACGTTTGTTTGAGGAGCAGCCAGGCTCGTTCTCTATTTGTGGATCTATGAATGGGAGAGTCGGAGTCCACAGTTCTTCCCCGAGACTTGTGTTTGCCCAGCCAGGCGCTGTGAAGCGTTAAAGGGAGCCGGTGGGTATACGACGCACCCAATGTGACCCGTGGGGAGGAGTGGCAGGCAGGGATAGAGAGGGGCAAAAAACTGGCAGGGTGCGGTCTCAGTTCGCCGGCAACTCAGATCACTTGACGTGCGCCAAAGGACGTGCTCATTCAAAGACAGCAGCCGCAGCAGTCTCTCCGAGTCTGACAGCTCTCCCAGTGTGCGTCGGAGTTACCCTGTATCTCTCGCTCCTAGAATCTGTTAGATAAATAAATGGACTTGCCTGCTCACTCTCATTTCGGTGATTTTCTTGAGAGACCAGCGTTTCGCATTCTATGGGCACTGAACACTTGGTATCACTGGATCTTTTCTCCGGCGTCTCTCCATGACAGCCTCTGCGTAAAGCGCCTTTTACGCACGGACGATGGCGAGGATAAGGGTGATAAAGAAGTAGAGGGTTTGTCCTCCCCATCTTTTACCCCGTGGGGGGGAATAAGGATCTTCCGGGGGGTAGTTTCAAATTGAACGGCGAGCTGTGCCACCGCACCACTCCGTGTCGGAGTGCCCGGCGGGTTGAGGTGGAATGCGTCTCCCCGTGGTGTTTGGGCTCCTCGTCGGCTGCGCCCTGATTTTCGCACCTGTTAACGAGGGCTGTGGGCCGGGGAGGGGACATGGGAAAAGGCGGCCTCCAAAGAAACTGACACCCCTTAATTACAAGCAGTTTAGTCCAAATGTAGCCGAAAAGACACTGGGAGCCAGTGGGAGACACGAGGGCAAGATCACCAGGACCTCGGAGCGCTTTAAAGAGCTCACACCGAACTACAACCCCGATATCATCTTCAAAGATGAGGAGAACACAGGTGCGGATCGACTCATGACGCAGGTGAGCGACACTCGGATAATGCAGCTCGAATGAATTCAATTATCTGCCCATTAGAAACACACTCAGTGGCTTTGATTCGATTACGAGCGCATTAAACCTGTTGCTCAGCGGTGTGCCCTTTGCTCAGTCCCACTGACGCGCTCCTATCGATCTTAACAGCTTGCAGAGGAATTGATTGCTGACAGCGGTTTGTCTCTTAAAATCGCTTTATAATAAAGCTTCTTCGATGGCTCTCGGGTTCAGCAGAGAATCTTATGTTTTAAAAAAAAAAACGAAATCTTACGTTTGGGTTCTTGAGTTTGGCTGTATGGTTCTTTGTGGATTTAAAAAAGTTATTGATGTTACGTTGCTGGTCCAGATCAGCATATTGGTTTCTTAATTCTTCAAAGCAGAAAACAGATTGTTTGTTAAATGACTAGAGAATATTATGTTTTTATGATGGTTCTCTGTGGAACTTACAGGTCATTCAAGGAAAATCTAGGACCTGTCAAATACTTTTCAATATGTTAATGTGCTCTTTTATGTACAATGTGAATATTTAAAAAAAATAAACTAACTAACATTAGAGTATGACTTATTAGTCATAAATGGAAATAGTTTCAAAAATAAATAAACTTTCCATTTAGTTTGTGGTTTATTTAAACAATTTATAAATAAATCTTAAATGACTCATGAATCTGAACTTATGACTCTTATTTCCTTTCCAAATAATGAAGCCGAAATTGTGGTTAGTTACAGTATATCTGTACTTTGGTAATGAACGCTTGTTTCCATGCCGAAATATGAATTTGCTGTTAAAAGCAAATTTGTCTTGTGTATTCTAAAGGGTGGTGAATGTGGTTAGTGAATCACTCAACATTTTGTACCTTGGTCGTTGAAAAATACCTGTGGAATGGAAAAATAAGTCAGTATATATTTTTGGTTTCAAGCATCACTCCGTTCTCCTCATGATTCAATAATTTGTCATTATATAATGTTTTACGTGGGTGCTTTTGAAAACAAACTCTTCAGGCATGAAAGAGAGGTGCCTGGGCTAAAAACAAAAACTATTGCATATTGTATGGCATGTTAATGTAGAAAAACTGGGATTACATAAACTCTTTTAATTAGTTAATATAGGAATCAATTCTAATTTATTTAAGAAAGCAAAAACTAATGATTGGAAAGTGTACAGTGAGCTCTGCATGGAAGATACAAAACAGGGTAAACAAATGGAAGTTAAATACTAATTTCCAAAACTTAAATCAGAGTAATCAAATCATCTTTATGTAAACAAGAGTTAAAGATTTAGCCCGTTCATTTATTTCACATATTATTTGTGGTGTTATAGCCATACACTTCAACTCATTAAAGAGGTGATCCTGGACTCTTTAAAGTATCATTTGCAGATCTCTGGATATGTTTTTATTTACCTCAACAACAGAAATGTCATTTGCATCAATTCTGTCTGTCTTCTGTCTTGCCCTGTGATGTGTGTGTGTGTGTGTGTGTGTGTGAGAGAGAGAGAGAGAGAGAGAGAGAGATTCAGTCTGTTTTGCCCTTTGGAGTTATAACTTGTCTTGTTTGCGTATTTCTTGCAAAATTCCAGTAAATGCAAGCCATCATCTTCCACGTGTGTAACCCAGGTCTAAACATCTTTCCTTGTTGCGTTCACAGCGCTGTAAAGATAAGCTGAACTCTCTGGCTATCTCTGTGCTGAACATGTGGCCTAGGGTGAAGCTCAGGGTGACCGAGGGTTGGGATGAAGATGGCAATCACTTTGAAGATTCACTGCATTACGAAGGAAGAGCTGTCGATATCACCACCTCTGATCGCGACCGTAATAAATATGGCATGTTGGCACGTCTTGCTGTGGAGGCCGGATTTGATTGGGTCTACTATGAGTCCAAATCTTACATCCACTGTAGCGTCAAGTCAGGTAGGGCTGAGACTACATATATCTGTTTATTTACAATACAACTATATGAAACGTAACCATATCCAATGTGCTATACAGAGTAATATAATATAACATTCAGCCAGAGACTTTATTCATGGAACTTCAATAGTTTACATTTATAGTTGAGTTCATCTAAAAGGGGAAAATTGGAATATTATGTGAATTTAAAAAACAGTGTTATGATTGATGGTGTAAAACTGTCCAGTCTGATCTCCGATGTTTGAACTAAGAGACTCCAGACTGAAAGATTCATATGCGTTCAGTGTGCAATTAAATCAGGTGTGTCCTATTGTGGTGAAGATGGTCATTTCTCATTAACTTGGGTGAGATAAGTGGTAGACCTGGGATGAAGGTAACAACAGGTAACAGACCACATCATTAAACCTTAAACACCTGCCTCTACCTGAGTCAGCAGAGACCAATTTATTGGCCAGACAACCAGGAAAGTAAAAGTGCACCCATTTAGTGTTTTATTGTCTCTTCTTCTCTCTTGACCTGCATTTTCATTTTTCGGATGCTAAAAATTACCTGTTGCATACATTGTCTTCTCATTGAAGATAATGAAGTAATTTAATTTAACACCCATTCTTACCACACAAACACATACATAACTGGAACAACAAAACAAACTCGCAATACCTTTTCTTCATGATACTTCTTTCTGCAAATGTTTTGGATTATTTGTTTATCTCATCACCTATCTGCCAATAAGAATCTGGGACTATTCAACTTGGTAACTTATTCTACTTCAATCATTTCACCACTGCTAGAGAGAAATGAGACCTGTGTGTGGACATATTTGAGGCCCTTCTGTTATCTTTCTGATAGAGCATGCAAACACAAGCAAGACCTGTTGTCTACTTCTGCTTTATCAAAGTCCTCTATAGGTGTGTTCTTCAGTTGGCTTCTTCAACTGTTATTGCAAGATTTCAGTCACGTACTTCAGTATAAAAAGAAGAAAGAGACAGTTAACCAGAGATGATACAACATTGCGAAATATTATTCAGTTATTCAGAACTCAAATATAAACAAAACGGCATAAAATTTGGAGTTGTGAGCACACATACATATGCTAGAAGTGCATAAAAGTAAATATGTATGTATGTGTGTGTGTGTTTATGTAAGAGAGAGAGAATGTGCCTTAAGAAGTAGGACTGGCTGCTAAAGTGCTGTGAGATGATTAACCAAGTCCTTTGTTTTCCAGACGGCAACTCTGTTGTCCCCTTTTCTCAGAGCTCTTATCTCAGCCTGTCTTATCACCTGGCCTTGGTACTTACCTTTCCCAAATATTTGTGTAGGACTCAACAGAGACTTAAGACTCATTCCGGTTTTTGTAATGCATACATCGCTCCAGACCCCAGTCACTTCTGTTGGACAGAAGTCATAGGGAGCTGGGATTCAATCAAGTGGTTATTTATTAGCTTTTATTGCATTTTTACCTGCTGAGTAGAGTCGTGCGAAAAAACTAATTAGCTTGAAGGATGGCGCTTGAAATGTTTGCCTGCACACGCCAGGTTATTTTCCACTGCAACTCTGTGTTTGATTGGATTTTTATGGGTTTACAATGAGAACGGGAGTGTGTTTGTGCTTGGGTGTGTGTGTTTTAAAGATTGAAGATTAATCTGAGAATGGCACTGTGCCATCTGAACAATCCAACCCCGAGCTTTAATAAACACACGAGACCTTTGGAATTATTTTAGGCTACTGTGCGCATCAAGGAAAGAAAAGGGACAATTGTATTGTTTGTTTGTCATTATATTTCTCTTTCAGAGCACTCTGTGGCTGCAAAAACCGGCGGCTGTTTTCCCGCATCGGCTCTTGTCACCATTGAGGATGGAAGCATGAAGACTATGGACAGCTTACAGCCTGGTGAAAAAGTACTCGCTTCATCAGAGAGCGACGGAAGCGGGCTGCTCATCTACAGCGAAGTCATCGCCTTCCTAGACCGCGATCCTTCTGCAGAGAAGCAGTTCTATGCCATCGAGACGGACACGGGTGCTAAACTGACCTTGACGGCGGCGCATCTCCTGTTTGTATCCGAAGGGAACTGCTCAGGGCCTGTAGTGAGTGCAGAGCTGAAGTCTGTATTTGCTAGTGATGTGCTGCCAGGTCAGTGCGTGGTGTCCACACAAGGAGCAGGACAGCAGGGACATCTGTCCCGGGTCACTAGGATCCAAATACAGGAGGACAAGGGAGTTTTTGCGCCGCTCACCCGCCACGGCACGGTGGTGGTCAATGGCGTGGTTTCCTCCTGCTACGCAGCCGTGGACCAGCACTGGCTGGCTCACTGGGTTTTCGGCCCACTCAGGGTACTTTCTAGCTGGGGAGGGACAGTTGGACATCAGGCTGTGGGGATACACTGGTATTCCTCACTGCTGCACTGGGTTGGGACTCATGTGCTGGATCCAACACACTTCCATCCCTGGAGCATGATGGACAATGACAGATGAAAACAAGCAGGGGGAATGAGAATGTCACTCGAAAACAAGTTTTGGAAGGATCTAAAAGAAAGCGAAGTAAGAAAGTCCTGAAATGAAGAACACAATCAGTTATGACCCTGAATAGATCCTAAATGACTAGAAAGGATGCAGCTATTCTATGGGTCGAGCCCTGTTTGAGGAAGTGGACATTGGACGTGACAAAATGTATCTTTATAACCCATATTTAACACTTTCAGATGGGTTTTCTATACTGCCTACACTGGAACATTATCACAAATATATCAAGACGCACACATTTCCGCTCCGATATCTCCTATTCAGTCTCTTTCTCTTTTATACACACATACACATTCAATAAACATATCATTATAGGCGTGGAAGTGAGGAAACTATAGATGAATTTGCTTTGTACTCAGGTATGCAGTGACTCAACCACAGGCAATCAGACCAACGCAGCCTGATAGGTTTGAGACAGAGGAGGAAGTTCTGTTGGAAAAGAAATGAGAGTGGAAGGTACACACAAACACACCCATAGAAACATACACTTTACAACTGGGTTAAGGTCTTTAAACATCACGAAAATGTACGTTCAGGTCCAGAGCGGTTCATGATAACTGTTTTGCATTCATTCATATGGTCAGTAACATGTTTCTTGCTGTAAACCTAGAGGTGTCTGTCCCAACTTAATCAAGTATTTAATGGTCACATTGTACACTGTATTTCTCCATCTAGCATACATTATTAAGGTTGAGTACTTTTATGAAGGCTTCATTCGAGCAAATTAAGAGTTTACTCTGTGCAATGTTTATGCCAGTTTATGTAGTCCTTACATGTGCTTTATGCAGTAATACTCAGTTTCCCATACAACTTACTGTATTTATCTGTTTTGTGGCATTATTTACATTTTACTTAAAGATGTCAGAAATTATATAATATTTGTAAAACTATTTAAAGATCTATTTTTCAGAATTAAAGGTTATGGAAATATCTGCCTTTGTCTTTCTTTAGTCTCCTGACTAAATTTCTCTGTTTTCAGAACTGTATAGGGCGTATTAACAGAGTGCATTAGTGTTCAGACACTTTTTCAGCGACGTCGGTTCCGGAAGTATTTTTATCATACATTTTTCCAATAGGGATTTTAAAAGACTTCATTATGGCATTACAAGCCATGAACCAAATCAACCAGCTATGAGGTGAATCACATCATTACAAACTTTTATTTAATGTACAAAAGGTATTCGAAAATCAGACATAAAGACAAAGGTACAAGACTGTGTACTGGATTTAGTGAGGGAAAGAACTACAATCCAGTGAAGCATTGCGAATTACATAAATTAAAAACGCTGGTAAAACAAAACGAATTCATTTAAAATTTTAATCATAGCTATAAAAACAATATATTTTAAATGTATTGAAAATATTCATATATATTAAAATATTTAGCTATTTTAAGTGTAGGTATGGTGGAGTATGTTATTTGTGATGATTCATGCAGTGGACCTTCACTGCAAGCTCTTTTGCCAAATTTGCTCACTTGCTCTCTCATTGGTGGAATTTTCTGCAAGGTATCACGGGTAATGTAGTTTTTCCACTACAAATTCTAAGAAAAGCATTTACCACCGATCAAGAACCTTGGAGCTCAAAACAGGTCTTAAAAATCTTCAAAATTATCTTAAAAATCAATTTCCCTATAGATAAAATGAATGGGATTTCACCTCCGAAACTCAACGGGGGCTGGGAACCACGAGGGGGCCTCAAATTAATATATTACTATTAATAAATTATTAATAATAGTAATATTATTAATAAAATAAAACAATCTAACTTAACTTAAATGATCTAATAAATAACTTTAAAAAAAATGACTAATTTTGAGGGGTCCTCGAGTCAAAAAGGTTGAGAAAAACTGAATTAATACAAAACTGTACCACTCGTAAACATAATACAATTTATAAAAAGCAAACCAGAAGTTAAATAAAAAAAAAAACTAAAATAAAAGTTGGACTGAACTTGAAATTCAGCCACTGCTAACACCAGCATCCTTGTCAGGTAATAGGCTAGACATCTCTGTCACTACCACCTCTTCAACAGGTGGGCTTCTGCAGGCACAGAATGGGACAGTTCTCAAGCCGCTCAGGTCCAGCACTTTCATCACAAGTGGAGGTGGGTCATACACCGCGTTTGGACTATGGCTGTAACCCTGCTGCTGGTCAGCGAGAGACAGAATCTTCTTTGTGCAATCATGTCGCACAAGACCCCTCTCAGGCAAAGTCCCTAAATACCAAAAATCACTGACATTAATTTAGTGCTTTATTTTAGGTAAAAACTCCGTAAATGACAGTAAATACATTTATGATATTGCAAACGACTTCCATTTCAAATAAATCAATTCATCAAAAATCCTGAAATAAAAAACGATCACAGTTTCCACTAAAATATGAAGCAGCACAACGGTTTTCAACATTGATAATAACAAGAAATGTGTCTTGAGCATCAAATCAGCATATTAGAATGATTTCTGAAGGATCATGTGACACTGAAGACTGCAGTAATGATGCTGAAAATTCAGCTTTGCATTACAGGAATAAATTAAATGTTAAAATATATTAAAATAGAAAACAGTCATTTTAAATTGTAATAATAATTTTCACAATATTACTGTTTTTACTGTATTTTTGATCGAATACTGTAAATAAATGCAGTCTTGGTGAGAATTATATGATTCTTTCTTTTAAAACAATCTTTCAGACCACAAACTTTTGAATGGTAGTGTACTTCTGTGTTGTTTTACCTGAAACAGTGTGCTCTAGAAGAAAAGCCAAAACCCCCACAAAGAAAACGGGTAAGGTTAAAAGAGACTGGAGAAAAACATCAACACTGTGTACACCTGAACACAAAGAGATGAAAATTCATACAATGAAACAGACTCATGTCCAAATGATATATATAATGTCCTTTAATGAAGCGGTTGCATTACACCATACCTGTTTGTATAAAACTAGAGTGAAGTCTGAACCAGCTTGGCAGTGCTAATGACATGAACACTGTGAAGCCGATGTTGAAAATGTTGCGTCCAGAGTCAACATCTGCATGTTGGAAGTAAGTTATGCCTGTTGCCACGGCAAGTGTGTAGGTCACGCCGAGCACAGCACCTGAGAGAACAAGAGCAAGCGCAAACATTTAGACTATGAGTATAACGCCATAGTCCTAACAAGACAATTGGGCTGAAACCATAACTTGGTGAGCATAACAGACTTCTTTCAATAAAAAAATCTGAATCATTCCAAACTTTTGTCCATCTAGTGCAGGGGTAGGCGAGTTCGGTCCTAGAGAGCTGCAGTCCTGCAGAGTTCAGCTCCAACCCTAATCAAACACACCTGAACAAGCTAATCAATGTCTTCAGGATTACTAAGGCTATAGGCAGGTGAGTTTTTTTTCAGGGTTGGAGCTGAACTCTGCAGGACTGCGGCTCTATAGGACCGAACTTGCCTACCCCTGATCTAGTGTATCATAAAATTAAGAGAGATAAAAATATAAAATGATGATCACCATGGATGGCCAGAGGGACTGAGAAGAGCATCTGAGCTAATTGAGGAGACACACCCAGAATTAACAACAACACCCCAGCGAGCTGCACTGTGCTCCGGGACCCAGACTGAGAGAAAGAGCAAAGTTAATCCTAGGCAAACCTAACAATCATACTACTTTTGTGAAAGCATCAATATACTCTCTTACCTGGCTGAGCCCAATAACACATGCATTAGGCACACTGCTGCACAGTCCTACTGGCGCCCCCATCAGGCCAGAGAGCACACTTCCTAGACCATCCACACACAGGCCCCTGTTACAGGCATGTGCTGGGGGCACAGGAGCCTTCAGGAGCCGAGCTGCCACCACGTACACAGCCAGAGAGCTAATGCTGCTAGACAGGCCTCCTGCCACTCCTGCTGCAATGCTTTTTCCAGACAGCAGGGGGAGTGCTGGCGCTGAAAGTACACAAGAAACATAAAGATAAAAAAAAATAACATTTCGTGCACACTGCTAGAAGGCTACTAAAATTAAAAACAGAACTTTCACGTTACTAGGAAGGGGGAAGTCCAGCCAGGGTACAGAGTCATTAGGAAAGACAAAGTCAGGTGAGTGTGGACCGTTCCTGGACTGAATGAAGGTGGCGTTTCTCTTTGTCAAGAGCATGTGGGTCACAGAGTTCAAAGGGACATGTCCCCAGTGCACCAATGCAGCACAAACACCACACGTCACCATCACAGACAGAAGTACCTACACAGAACGGGCACAAAGAGCAGGGACAATTTATCTGTTATAGGGTGTGGACCTAAAAAGGGACCTTACATACAGTGACTCAACAGTATATGGACCCTTTAGTGCATAAATGTCATTGCACCATATACAAAAAGACCAGATGGTTCAAATGAATTGCAAAAATTGAAAAATAGTAGTTCTAAAAAAAGGTCATCACGTATTTGCAGATGCCACATTTGCCTCATTTTAAATCTATGCGATATATATGTAATCGTTTGTGGTTGGTAAGATTTTTTTAATGTTTTTTAAAAGTCTCCTATGCTCACAAGGGGTGCATTTATTTGATATAAAATACAATAAAGACAGTAATATAGTGAAATATTATTACAATTTAAAATAACTGTATTCTATTGTAATATATTTTATCTGTTGTATATATTTTACTGATATGACAAAGCTGAATTTTTCAGCTGCTTGAGAAATTTTTATTATTATTATCAATCTTGAAAACTGTTGTGTTGTTTAATATTTCAGTGTTGTGGAAAGTTACTTCTAAAAGTAATGCAATAAAACTGGTGTTACTTATTTGAAACAGTAACTCAAATTAAAAGCAAATTAAAAAGTAGTGTTAAGGGCTTTTCACACTGAAAGCGAACACCAGGCGCGATCATTCGCGGTGCGAGTTTTTTTTCGTCCTGTGTGTCGATTTTTTCCCCATCGCTCCACAATGAAACGGGCCGTCCAATCAGATTTGAGCTTCAAAAAATCTGAGAACAGATTTTATTCTCACATGTTCTTAAAATAATTACTTTACTAGTTACGTGAAAAACTAATCTGATTACAAAACTCGCGTTACTTGTAATGCGTTACCCCCCAACACTTTCATATTTCTGTGATACGTTTTTTTGTTTTTTTTTGTTCTGCATTTATTTGAAATAGAAATTTTGGGTAACATTATAAATGTCTTTACTGTCACTGTTACTGTTACTGATACATTTTAGCATTTATATTTATAAATTAACATTAATAAATGCTGTAAAAAAAATACACCAACATTGGATAATGTCATTCATATATTTTAAGCTGCACACAAACACTCCCGCATCAAAACATTTACACAGACGCACACAGATGGATGAGAATAATAACTAGACAGTCAGGCACTGTCTAGTTCCACACAGCAGAGAAAAACCAATAAGGATTTCCCAAAAGCAAGATTCCAATACGAGCTTACGATCACTCATAAATTGCTTTAACCTGTTTCCCATAACCTTTGACAACATTCAACCTCATATTAAATTAAGAACATTTTAGCCAAAGATCACTGTAACACAAGGCATATCTTCATTGGGAAACTTTGCCCAGATCAATGATATGATCTTCTTACAGGCAAAACACTGATCTAATGTACTGCAGGTTAAAAGCTGTAAAAGAGCTCAACTACCAATGCAACACAGGAAATCCCATAAAGCATGACTGAAGGTGTCTGTGTTAGACTAGTTTTGGAAGTGAAAGTAAATGTCTTTTCTTTTTTGTGGAAAGTCACACAACATTAAAAAGTGAAGAAACACTTGCAGAAATGGCTCTCAAAATCAAAATAATGTCTGGAATACACTATACTTTTATGTTTCTTTAGTGAAAGTTTCTGAAAGTCAGAGACAGACTGCAGATTTCACAGAAAATCATGTAGTGTATGATAGGCACTGACTCCGATTGTTTAGCTTTAAACTTTGATTCCATCTAGCTGGAGGATATCAAACATGTTTAATATTTCATACCGATTCAAGCATCTTATTTCAATTAGTCTCTTAGAGGCACATGTTTCTGTGTTCACAAGTTACTGTGTGATCCTAAGCCATTTAGTGCATGATGCTCTATAAATATAGCCATTTACAAAGACATCAGCAAGTACAAAATCAATCAATCAATCAATCAATCATTGATATATTACAGTTTTTGGTGATATTTTTAATTAGATTTTATTTAAAACAGTAATACCGTGGAATATTATTACAAATACTTTTACAATAACTGTTTTGTTTAAATACATTTTTTTAAATATAATTTATTCCAGTGACGGGAAGCTGAATTTTCAGCATCATTACTTCAGTCTTCAAAGTCACATGATCCTTCAGAAATCACTCTAATATGCTCATTTGGTGCCCAATAAGCATTTCTATTAATTTAGTATCATTTATATACTATTATATTTTTTTGTTAATATTTTGAATTTAATTACATTCTTATATTTTATTTCCACCTTAATTGTAGTTAAAGTTGTAACAATTTTGTTGTGTGTTTTGTCATTTTTATTATTTCTTTTGTATATAGTTTTTGATACATTTTATTCATTTGTTTATTTAGTTTTAGTTATTTTGGTTTTTCAATGAAAATTGGAAATGTTGCCTTGGCAACTAGCTGACATATAGTTTAATTATTTTTATTTCAGTTGAAATTTATTTTATTTCAAGAAGCAAATTTTTTATTTACCTTTAAAAACCCTTAAATACGTACATACGTAGATAGATATTTTATTTCAGTAAGCATTTATTTTATTTCAAGTAGCAGAACTGTTTAAATGGTTTTAGTTAGCTGTAATAAATAAATAAATAAAATAAATAACTAAATCTGCCTACTTCTTTTTGGAAAGTGGGATCTGCTGTTACTACGGCTACTGTAGAACAATGTGACAATGGAGGGTGGTCTGAATGTTCAGCACCATGGACAGCACTGTGCTCTACCTCTCTTATTGGGTGTGCTGGGGCCACAGGCTCCTCTGCTTCAGTGCACTGCCCCCTGCAGGCCACAGCAGTCCCTAACACACAATACAATCAGCACCAATGACATTTCTTTTTTCTGTAGATGGGTTTCATTGGGTTTGTTAGTATGTTTAATTGGGTAGGTATTTAGATAGTCTTTGGCTTCATTTTAATTCTGCCATTCTCACCTGACTGAGCAGAAAGCAGAGCCAAGACAGGGATTAGAAAGTCCAAAGATGGAGCCAGGATCAATGGCAAACTAAACAGAGGAAACATTGGACTTAACCCTATAGATGCTTTAGTACAACTATATCAGCTTACATGGAAAGCAACAGGGTAAGATACTGAAGTCCTACTAAAATGGGTCATAAAAGCTATCTAATTTTTATCTAATTGCATTTTATATTAATTGAATCTATAATATGTTTTAATTTAACTAAACACAATCACACTGTTTCACTGAACTGTTTCAATTACAATCAGTTTGCACGAGTATATTCTTATTTCTGTAATAAATACTTTAAAAAGCTCAATTTTTTAAATTGAGTTTACTGAAACAAAATTAAGGTTTGATTTTTTATTTTTCGAATTTGGACAATTTGTGCACACAAAAGATGAAATATGCCAGGATCACATCCATGTTTATTAGCATTGGTGAGTCAGCAGGATACAGGACTGCAGAATGACTACTCATGGCTTATAGTGGCGCAAAGTGACCCTGGTTTCCCAGGCCACCTCGGCAAGAAAGCATCAAGTCACTACACACAGACACACTGCTCATGGATTTAAGTATGCCCCTTTCACATTCACACTAATTACAGATATAGATATGCTCAGAGAATTTGTATCTTTAGTGACGAAACGCAACAAAACTACACAATGATCACAGCCACAAATGCAACAACAACACAACACTAGCAAATATCGTAACTGCGCTCAAATACATGAAGAGGAAGTGTTTGTCCACCAACAAGGACTTTCGATTTAATTAAGAGCTTGCGTGAGAGGTCATTAAAGATGCATTGGCAGTCTCTATACAGATCAGATTGATTTCTCAGTACTGGATATAAAAACCAAGCACGCAAACGTGCTTCAAAACTGGTGAAGTGTGGCAAGAACTCCCTCAAAGCTTGGGTCACCTGACACGTCCAGTTAGCCAGAGATCAGGGGGTAGCAAGCAAACCAAACAAAAAGCAAACAAGTTCTCATTCAGCACAACAGATGACTGGAGAATCAACATCTCTGCCATACCAACTTGAGTTCAGTCCCTTATAAAAGTTCATATCCTCACTAAACCTGCTCTTGCTCTGAGATGGATGGTACTTTCTGATCCAAACATGAAAAGACCAGAGTATACAACACTGAGAAGACCCCAGTTAAAAGCCAGTGTTCATGGCACATAGAATCATTTTAACTCTCATTTGTCTCACAATGTACAAAAATAAAACTATAATTGCAGTGTAAGAGGACTGAATTCATATTATGCATATTCTGAGTCACTTTTGAATGTTGCACTGTATTAAAACCCACACAAGTGAGCATTAAAGCAGCACTATGTAACGTTTTCTGTGTTCAAAATTTGCAAAATGTATATAATGAGCGAGTACATCATGAATTCATCTTCTAAACAGCGTTTTTGTCTTATTCCGAATCACTACGGTACACTTATAATAAGTACATATATTTGGACTATTGCAGCCTGGTCGGGTCGTCACCGCTGCGGAGTAACACATACCTGCGTGAATTGCCATAGACATAAACTTAGAGAAGTAGCTCCGGTTGGAATGTTCTTCCGCGGGATGTGTGCAGTTCTGTTTATTAACCGCTAGAGCGCCAAAAGTTACATAGTGCTGCTTTAATATCCACTTTCAAATCACAAACTACCCATATCCAATATCTCCGACGTGCCTATGAATACAATTCATAAAGAAATAAAAATCTGTGCAGAGATTATTGCATTTCATGTTAAGACGGACAGAAAATCTCCTTCACTGAATACACTAAACCGTGTTTTACTAAATGACTGAGACAAATTGTGTGTATATGACTCTGTTTGCACAGTGAAGTACAATATTAATCACATCAATTTCTGAAATGGCTTCATCAAAAAAGAAAAAAGAAAAAATCAGTAATATTATGTATAAGGTAAAGCTAAGGGTGAAAGACAGCACACAGGTTCATGTAAATATAACCTGAGCAAGAGTCTGGGGTTAAATACGTCAGCCTCATTAGTGTCACCATTAACTGCATATGGAATGAGTGCATATGTTTTTTGTTTGTTAATGAGAATGATTAAATACTCCTTTAACTATATTAGTCTGTTTTATTTTAACTTTTGAGTTTGTTTCTGATTTAAACATGCAGAAATGGAGCTGGTCGATCTTTGACTCTGAGCAGTCAAACTCAGTTTCCATCGAGGAGTGTTCAGCTGTCATATTGTAGGACTATGTAACTGAAGGCTGGAATTCACTACATGACTTTTGTACAGATTTTTGCCCTAATTTACAGTCTGGAGGAGTCGGCGCTAGTTGCTGAAAGTCAGATCCAGTCTGCAGATTTTGGGCAGTTGGAGTTGACAGATTTCACAGAAAATCAGCCTGTGATTCCATCCAATCAGACGATATTAACCATGTAGGTTTAAGAACACATATTGCTTTTATTTGTCACACATCTCCTAGAAACAGTAAGTTTGTTGTGTTCGGAGCAACTTTAAAGTCGTTTGTAGTTTGTGACCATCAGTCACAAAGATGGCAAGTGTACGATGTCTAGTGTTTTTTTTTTAATCGGTTTAGATTTGAAAAGTTATGTAGTGCATTCCAGTCTCGAGAGGAATATTAATCACCATTTAAAAAGAAATACTGTTTGCTTCCACCTGTGACATTACTATATATATATATATCATGCAGCTCAAATAGTGCTTGCTCAGTATTAGACTACAGAGACTGTTTTCTCACCAGTTTGTTAGCTCATCTGGGATATGACTTTAAAACATTTCCACACAAAATGGGACATGGTTAAGAAAGTCTAGTCTAAAAGCATTTGCAGCAAGGACTTACTTTGGGTATGTTACTCCATCTATTAAAAAAGGCAAAACTAGTTAACAGAATACCACTTATTCACGGTGTCTTATATTTGCACCGTGACAAATATGAGACATGGTGACAACAACGCAAAGACTAACCTGTCAACAACTTCCACAAACATAACCAGCAGATTGCCTGTGGCTGTGCATTTGTTGGTGTCGTAGTACAGTTTTTTTGTTTGCATTTTGAAGGGAAGCAATGAGGAGTTATATAGAAGGATTAACAACAGGTCAAGCGGATCACAGGCTCTCACATCCTCTGGGTGAAGTTTTCAGGAAAGACTCCTTTTTTCCCTTGATCTTTATGCTGAATCCAGTCGGACTCTTTGACTCCCACTAACCACCCTTCATCCTGTAAGCACAGAAACACAGTTAGGTGATCCAAACACCAAGATCTCTTGTGTAAGAACTGGTCAAAACGACGATACTAACCTCCTCGTCTGGGTTTTCATAGCTTACAACCAGCACCACATCTCCGGCCTTCAACTCCAACTCATCAGAGTCATTGGCATTGTAGTCGTGCATTGCTTTCACCTTTATTCACACAAATACATGTCTCACTTCTTCTGCTTCAAATTCTAATTAAAAGGCCAATGTAAGTTAAACTGAAACATAATTTTGCACTCACTTTGAACAGAAAGGATTCTGGCATCTCTACACTCTCTGTGCTCTCAGTGGTCGCCTGTGCAGTCTGGAATAAACAATGAATGTAAATACAACAGCAGACATAAACTTTATACTTTTGAATGTATTATATTAATAATTAGCATCAAAACATGAAAGGTGCTCCACTTGGTGCCTGACAAGCTAATGCTGCAGCTGCTCCTTCAGTCCACCAGAGGGAATTCTAACTCACTTATTAGCATATACTACCATACATTTTGTTTTGTATACAAGGCTCACCAAGGCTGCATTTATTTGATTTAAAAAAAATACTATAAAAACAGTAATGTTGTGAAATATTGCAATTTAAAAGAACTGTTTTTTATATGAATATATTTTAATAAATGTCATCTTTTTCTGCAATGACAAAGATGAATTTTCAGCTCCAGTTTTCATTGGCACATGATCCTTCAGAAATCAGTCTAATATGCTGATTTGCTGCTCAAGAATAATTTCTTATTATTATCAATGTTGACAAGAGTTGTGCTGCTTAAAGGGGTCTTATTATGCTTTTTCACTTTTTTAATTTTAGTCAGTGTGTAGTGTGTATGTTTGGGCATTAAAAAGATCTAGAAAGTTACAAATCTCAAAGTCCACTCCAAAGGGAGATATTTCATATATTATTCCTTTTAAAGAACTACAACGAATGGCTCGTTTGGACTACAGCGTTTGTTTTCCGGGCTTTGTGATATCACAAAGCGGCTCATTAGAATATCATTAAAAATAATTCCCGCCTACAGAAATTGGAAATGTTGGGGGGTGGGGAGGGCGAGGTTGTGGTTAGAACGCTTGGTTGAGTGAGTGCATCAGACGAGACGACGAAGAAGAAGTGCTGCTGCAGAGTTAGTGCATCAGAGAAAATGAAGAAGAGCTGCTGTGCTGTAGCATCAATTTCTCGGCCAAATTTTTGTGCCTACACTCATAGAAAATAAAGTATTTGAATTTTAAAGGGATCATATGATGCTTTTTTAAAGATCATTATTTTGTGTATTTGGTGTAACAGAATATGTTGACATGCTTTAATGTTCAAAAAACACATTATTTTTCAAATACTGTACATTATTGTAGGTCCTCTATGCCCCGCCTCTCTCAAACGCTTAGTTTTCTACAAAGTCCCTCCTTCCGACAAGCGCAGTCTGCTCTGATTGGCCAGCTGACCCAGTGCATTGTGATTGGCCGAACACTGCAAGCACTAGTCAGAAATATAACGTCCCTTACCATAATCGCGAGCTTCATCTTTCAAAATAAATGTAAAGACAGAACCAGAAAGGGGAACAGAGTCACGTGACAGACCCCGTGATGAAGCTGGTATGTGTTTGCAGCACACAAGCCACGGTTAAGACAGCTGACTCCACAGTGATGTGACCCCCCCCCTCTCTCTCTCTCTCTCTCTCTCACACACACACACACACACACACGATGCGCAAAACTCTGCATTTGAACAGTCAATAGCAAATACTTAAACTAATAACAAAACAGTAGCTAATTCAAAAGCGCTAGATTGTCATAGCAAAGTCAGAATTACCTCCTCTCCTAGGTTCACGAAACGGTCGTCCATAAAATGCATTGCTGTTCTGTTGTAAGTAATCTTAAAGATTCCTAAATGCATCTACTTTCGGAAGGCCAAATAAAGTGCTTTTGCTTTCGCCTAGAAACACACAGCGTCTCCCTGACATGGCTGCTTCAACACTAACTGCGGTTACTGAAACCACGCCTTCTTTCTTTGCGTGCACATTTGGGCGGCATTATGCAAATATTTCCACATAGTGAGGTAGATATGTGGGGGCGTGTTAGAACGAGCCGTTTTAGGGGGGCATGGCAGAGTCTTAACTTTGATAAAGAATATCTCTTTGGTTTTGAGACTTTAGTCTTTGCAACTTCAGCGATCTTATCTATGCACAATCAGCTTGTAACACTCCAAAGAGAAAGGAAAACTTGAAATCGCATCATATGACACCTTTAAAGGCGTGGCGCGAGTTTGGGCTTCCGAAAGCAGATGATGTCAGGAAACAGTGGTTGCAGTTTATTTTTTAACTCTGTTCCTGAGCATTATAACCCCAATTTGCTAATGTGTGCTGTGCATTTTACTGAGGACAGCTTCCACAACACGAGGGAGTACAGTACCTTTTGTTGAAAGACGGAGCAAGGGGCGGGGCAGTACTGAAACACCGTCTAAGCTGTTCGCCAATCACAACACACTGGGACAGCTAACCAATCACAACACATTTTGTTTTTCGGAAGGCGGACCTTCATCAAAGCCGGAACTAATCGAGCCATTTGTGTCAGGCTGAGTAGAAAGGTATTTTAATAATGTAAATTATGTGAAAAATAATGCGTTTTTCGAAACACCAAGCATGAGATGCATGTTCTAGTACACCCCCAAAACAAAATTAAGACTTTGTAAAAGAGCATAATTAGACCCCTTTAATATTGGAAAATTTTTGTGGGAAACAAGATTATTTTTTTAAATAGAAACATTTTGTAACATTATTAATGTCTTAACTGTCACTTTTGATCAGTTTAATGCATCCTTGCTGAACAAAAATTTATTTATCTCTTTAAAAAATAATAAAATAAAATATTTTTGAATATTAGTAGTGTATGTTCATGCAAGGTTTGAGTCACCTATAGACTTCCTGTTTGTTCTTTATGCTGTTGCCTTGGGTTTGATGATCAGATTTGACACTTTTGGATCTTATGCTATGCCTTATTTTATTTACTTACTCATCACTTACTTCATTTACGGTTTCAGCTACTGCCTCTTCTGTAACAGCTACCTTTTCTGTGGCCTGCAAAAGGGAAAGACCGGGAGATAAAGAAGGAGAGAGCCAATACAGATTGAGGAATAAGAGATAGAAATACCAAGAGAGAGCCAAGAATTGAAAGAGAGAACAAAAAGATGCATATTACACAGCTATCCTCATAACATAGCAAGCCCAGCTGTAGCTGTTACTACTACTACAACAACTACTACTACTTCTACTACTGCTATTAGCACTGCTACCGGCATTCTCCCTATTGCCATGCTAAGCAACTTTTCGCATCCATCCACAGGTTCCTACAGGAGCGCGTCCTCAACATAGCACAGCTCAGCTCCTGTCAGCTTGCTCTGTGAGATTTGTACCTGAGCCCCATCATCGTCCCACCCTTGGGCCTGCTGGGTAGAATCATTGTCATTCCCCTGCACAGGCTGAGAGCCATCATCATCCCAGGTGGAGTATGCGGCCGGAGCACACACAGGTTGGCTACCATCATCATCCCAGGTAGCCTGGTTACCATCATCGCCCCAGCCAGAGTGCACAGGCTGGGTACCATCATCGTCCCATGTCTGAGGCACCTCAGCTTCCTTCTCTGTTTGCTACATGTGGCAGGGAGGAGGGTGGGTATGGCGGTGAGGGGAACGGTGGGGAAGGGCACATGTAGGAGCAGGGGAAAAGCATGAGCAGGGATCATTCAGTGTGGAGAAAGAATGAGGAGCCAGAGAGAGCGTAAAACACAGATGAGCATTTCTGCAGCTGAACACACAATACTGGAGGTCATATAGCCTCTATGGAATGATGTGGGACATGCAACATTAGTATCGCGGACAGTTACTAAAGCGGGACAGACAGACATTTACAATCTTTATGCTGGAAAGCTTTGCAGTGAAAGGAAATTTAATGGAATAGCTTTTTTGCAACTGTTTGACAAGGGCTGACTGATTTCCCTAACCATTGCATATATTGAATATTATTAGCTAAATTCTTCAAAATAGTGTAGGAATCTGTTTGAATTAAAAGGAAAGGTTATGTATGCTGATATACACTACAACTATGGGCAAACATAAAAGCACACTCACCTCCCATGAATCCCAAGTCTGTCAAAATGCATAAAAACAAAGCTAAATTAATGACTAGACAAAGCAGATTTGTCAATTTGATGTTCCATTGCATGCACACATTGAATATGTTATAATGCATAAATTAAACATACTATAAGTGTTGTAGTCCTCAAGTTTGGACGAGACCAGACTCGGACTCAAGTCCATCTCAAGGCTGAGCACCTGACCATATTCTCAGGAGCATTTAGACTCGGCATAGACTCATCCTTGAATGAGCTGGTCTTGACTAGACATAGAAAATATGGCCTTGGACTCAGAACTGAGTCTGGTCTTGCCTGGACCTGAGTACTACAACACTGCTATAAGCTAAATTGAATGAAAGTTTAATAAAACCTCAAAAAAACTTTACTTAGTTCCTCTAATTCTGACAGACCTGTGCGGCTGGTGTGGTGGCAGCCTGAAGTGAGTCCAGATCCATATCCAGCAGATTAGCAGTGGCTGGAGCATCATACTGACAAAAAAAAAGAAAGAAAATTCCTGTGAAGTTTTACAGGAAAAAAGCTCCATTGTCACTTTCAAACCGAGAAGGTTTCTGTTGGTTAATAAGCAGGAAATTTGCTTTACTGACTTGAGTGGGCAAATCTTTGTGAAATTCCAGATTACATGGATTCTTATCGAAATGACTGCAATTTACCCATGAAAATTTGCAGAACAACGGTAAATGTGACCATACCTTAATTCTCACAGTTGATTACAACAGTTTCACTCTAGCATATTGCAAGGGTAACAGTCTTCTAAGTACTGCCTTAAAATATTATTTATGATTACTGATGTAATGTAAAAAAAAAATTATCTGTAAGAGCATAATGTATAACTATCACACAAACCATTTTAGGGTTAGTTGTCATTCAGAATTGAATTATGAATGCCTTTCAAATTCTGAAAAGGGGCCAAAAAGAAGAATTGTAATTTGAATTTAAGGAAGTCAAATGAAATGGATTTACATTCCAAGAAATGTATATTCTATGTGAAGTGTTATTTTTATTTTTCAGTATTAATTACTACCTGTGTTAATTATTACAACATTTCTATTCCATCAATAGAAAAGTATTTAATTTTAATATACTGTATTTCATTCATATTTAACAAATGAACTTCCAATTTTACAATTTACCCTAAAATCTTCAAAGTGGAGCCAAACACCAAACAGGCTTAGAAGATGGAAACTTTTAAAAGAACACCTGATAAGTGACCTGCTGTTGCCATGTTCTTCAGACCAACAACATTTATTGCATTTTAATTCAGTAACCCCCATCATTCCAACTCAGATTCAACATCCTACTATTCAAATTTCAGCTTGTGAAAACTGCGTATTTTAGCCAATGCTGGTGTCTTTACTAGTAGCATCATTAGCGCGAAGACGAGGATTACAAGAGAAGAAAGTACTGCTGACCTGTGTTGGCGAAGTGACACTGATGTTTGGAGTGGCAGCCTCACCAAACAGATTGATAATGTTCTCCTGCTTCATATCCTTTGATGGAGTAACTTTAGGAGGTGGAGGAACCATAGGCTTTAGCTAGAAACACATAAAAATGAAATAGGGTTTCATATTTCATATAGAAATCACTGTAATACTGGGAAATCACAGCAATTATTAATTTTGGGGTGCTGATTCCAAAAATAGTGCTGTTTTGCTAAAGCACATCATTTTACATAATTTTATGTTTCCTGATGCAACTCCTTTGCCAAATGTAAGTTAAATTAATTGAATACTTCGTTTTAATTGCCATTAACACCTATACTTAAGACCTTTGACTGCTATTGTTATTTTGATATTTGTTTAGTTATTTTAAGTGCATTAAAGCAGATACATAAATATATGCTGGTATATTTGTACTAAGCAGCGTCAAATTAATTACTTTTTTGCAAATCACCAGATTTCAGATTTTTTCTCAAGATGCAGGGCTGTGTTATTTTACATGGCAAGTACAATGCCGTGGTGATTTCTAAATGCATACCTTGGACGGTGATTTGGGTATGGCTGGCGGTCCTCCTGGGCTCAACGTGTGATTGGCATCTTGTGTTCTGTCACTGCAGCATAAAGTACTAATAATGAAATACAGTATCATGGCTATAAAGAGCCCCTGTGTGTCATGCTTTGATTAGGCTCAATCCAAGCACCGATGTTACACTCTGCAAGCCCTAGTCTTAGATGGCCAGTGTGACCAACAGCCTATCTGAGAGATTTCCAAGCCAGAACTGACATACTGTAACTACACTTAGGATAGTACCAAAATTAACAGGTATTCATGCAGACGCAGTTGCTTCCTGTTTAAAATCATTCTGCTCATGCAGTGAACTCTCAGGACTGCAGACGGACTGCACAAGACAAACCCTTGTCTAGGTGGGCAGCACTTGAGGGCACACAATACGGAATGCAAAGATCCACACACACTCAATCACACAGAACTGTAGGGCTACCGTTACCTCTTCTGGGCTGTTGATGTCCTCACCTCTTGGCTACCTGTTTTTCTGTGAGAGTGGTGTTTTTGGTTTGTTCATTTATTTAATTGTATAAACTGTATAGAGTGTAATTGTACCAATACTAATTATTGCCATATGCACAATTTACACACAATTTTGAGGCAAAATAGGTAAAAATGAGTCAGCATGGTTAAAATATACAATAAATACAATTCAGTACTTATAAATGTAAACATTATGTATGTATGCTGCATATACTAACCTGGACATATCTTGATTTTCTAATTTCTCCAGCGTATCATTCAGATTCTGATTAATCTGTAAGAAAAAATATTATATGGAAAATCAACATCTTTTGAAATGTAGACGTTTTTCCTTCATATTTTACAGTCAATATTATATTAATAATACTTATATTAATCATCAATATTATACACACACACACTACTCATTCACCAGATTATTTACTTGTAATTAAATTACACTTATATACAAAACATAATCATAATGTTCTGTCAGTTGATGGTGCTGAGCTGGTGTCCTTACTTTTCCCATTTCTCTGTGAAACTTCTCCTCCAGACCAGCCACACTCTGGAATGTATTCACATAAAAGCCAACACGACTGGAAGAGAGCAAACACAATCTTAGCCCTCCATAAGATGACAACAGGCTTCAGTCTAAGACGGTACACCCATGGACCATTTATGACCCATCTGGCGCATATTGCACACAAAAATGGCAAGAGTCAATCAGATTGTCAGGCTTCTACATCATTTCCGTGATTCAGGGTGTACAGGTACTGTATTTGACAAAGTGGCAAATACAGAGGTTCATGGCACTGAATCTGTGAAATATGTTCTTTTGAATTTTGCTTGAGGTACTTGCTTTTAGCAATTAAACTGATAAATCCAGACCTGTTCCACAGAGATGGCAGTTCCTCCTGCAAATCTATATTAATCTCCTCAAACACTTTCTGTGCCCTCTCACAATCTTAGCCCTCCATAAGATGACAACAGGCCTCAGTCTAAGACGGTACACCCATGGACCATTTATGACCCATCTGGTGCATATTGCACACAAAAATGGCAAGAGTCAATCAGATTGTCAGGCTTCTACATCATTTCCGTGATTCAGGGTGTACAGGTACTGTATTTGACAAAGTGGCAAATACAGAGGCTCATGGCACTGAATCTGTGAAATATGTTCTTTTGAATTTTGCTTGAGGTACTTGCTTTTAGCAATTAAACTGATAAATCCAGACCTGTTCCACAGAGATGGCAGTTCCTCCTGCAAATCTATATTAATCTCCTCAAACACTTTCTGTGCCCTCTCCAGCTCTTCCTCTGCCTATAAACAAAAAAATTACATTATCACATGACATGGAGTTCAATAATCTTATTCACCCACAAGACTTTAGCTGTTGAAACAAATTTACCTCAACACAGCTAATCAAACATGATGAACTGCTTCACCTGCCATATTTGATTTGTCATTTATTTGGCCCAAAAATGCCTGGAATAACCAGGTAATAACAAGATACTTATTTGTTTTGGCCGATATTGCCCTCCTGTCTGAGCAAAATGATCAAGATGATGGCTAGTATCTCAGAATAGCTCGGAAAGTAGTAAAATTAAAGGAAGTTATTTTGAAGAATGTTGGTAACCAGACAGTTGACAGTAGCCATTGACTTCCACAGTACTTGTTTTCATCCTATGGAAGTCGATGGCTGCCGTCAACTGTTTGGTTACTAACATTTTTCAGAATATCTTCTTTTATGCTCAACAGAAGAAAGAAACTCATACAGGTTTGTAACAACTTGAGGGTGAGTAAATGACAGTATTTTAATTTTCATGTGAACTATCCCTTTAAGTTATAGTGTTTCACCTGACTCCTGGAGAGGCTGGTTTGAGCCACGTTATGGGCAGACAGGATCCCCTGAGCCCAGCCTGGGGCGGCCCTCTCCAGCAGGGAAGCTGGCTACATAGAGAAGAGGGAAAAAAAGAAACTCCATATGCACGGACTGTAGAAACATAAAAACACAACATGACTACAAGAAACTAAATGGCAAAAGTCTTGTAAAAAACTAAGGGCTCTACCTTGGTGATCTTGATCCCCTCCTTTTTCTTGCCTTTGTTCACCGCAGCATAGTTGTGTCGTGCACTGTCATAGTCCACCAGCTTCCTGTCACGCTTTGCAATACGGGACTGAAAAGAATTATACAGATATTAAACAGAAAATCACAGCATGATATGCTAAACTACAGCATCGTCATGGGATCTTAGTACTTTGATGTCAGGAAACTGGCCCAGGTAAGTGTCCATGGATATAAGCGCATGGTCCACAAGTTTCTGATGGAAATCTGTCCAAAGGAGGTCTGAATCCTGTTACACACACACACAACAATAGATACAAATGATCAGGATGGTGGAAGACTATCTTAAATACATTAAGTACACACCCACACACATTCACAGAGACACGTGCTGTACCTATAGGGACAACTACAGAGCAGCTGGATCCTTAGTGTTAGGCTAATTCTAGTGTCACTACTTGTGTGGTTGAATAATCATTTCTTGCAGTTACTGCTGAAAAACTAAACAGCATTTACATGTTTATAAACTAGCTATAAAAAATAAACAACTAATTAATAATCAAAACCCCTTGAATTACCTCCCATCTGTTTCCTCACTCCTAACATTCCTTTCAAAGAAAGCAGAAATCAAGTAAAAATGGTGGACATGTAGAATGGATACACATACACTACTGTTCAAAAGTTTGAGGTCAGTAAGATTAAAAAAAAGGAAAAGGAAATTAATCATTTTATTCAGCAAGGACACATTAAATTGATCAAAAGTTAGAGTAAATATATCACTATTTCCACAAATATATTAAGCAGCAAAACAGTTTTTAACACTGATAACAAGAAATCAGCATGTTAGAATGAATTCTGATCATGTGACACTGAAGACTGGAGTAATGGCTGCTAAAATTCAACTTTGCCTTCCAAGAAATAAATTCTATTTTAATATATTTATTTAGATAGAAAATAATATTTCTTTTATTGTAATAATATTGTAATTGTAATCCTCTATTCCTTCTCTGCTAATGTCTCCACTGCTAAAAGGACATACTATTATAATAAAATTAACAATTCGTCTAACTCTCGCATGCTCTTTAAAACATTTTCCTCCCTCCTTTGTCCTCCCTCACCTTCATCAACTCTAACAGCTAACGACTTTGCAATTAATAATCAAAACCCCTTGAATTACCTCCCATCTGTTTCCTCACTCCTAACATTCCTTTCAAAGAAAGCAGAAATCAAGTAAAAATGGTGGACATATAGAATGGATACACATACACTACTGTTCAAAAGTTTGAGGTCAGTAAGATTAAAAAAAAAGGAAAAGGAAATTAATCATTTTATTCAGCAAGGACACATTAAATTGATCAAAAGTTAGAGTAAATATATCACTATTTCCACAAATATATTAAGCAGCAAAACAGTTTTTAACACTGATAACAAGAAATCAGCATGTTAGAATGAATTCTGATCATGTGACACTGAAGACTGGAGTAATGGCTGCTAAAATTCAACTTTGCCTTCCAAGAAATAAATTCTATTTTAATATATTTATTTAGATAGAAAATAATATTTCTTTTATTGTAATAATATTGTAATTGTAATCCTCTATTCCTTCTCTGCTAATGTCTCCACTGCTAAAAGGACATACTATTATAATAAAATTAACAATTCGTCTAACTCTCGCATGCTCTTTAAAACATTTTCCTCCCTCCTTTGTCCTCCCTCACCTTCATCAACTCTAACAGCTAACGACTTTGCTACGTTCTTCATTAATAAAATGAAAACCATCAGTGCACAATTTTCCAGGATTCAGGTGCGGGTTCAATAGGTGCTTTATTGTGCAGAGATTATCACCGCGGGCAGTAAGCGCCTTCGCGGACAGTTCGTGTGGTCGTGGAAACCCCAACCACACCGATGGGGGGGAGAGCAGTGGCTGGAACAAGCCGCAACAGCGGCAGAGGAGACGGAGCCGGAGGGGCAGCTCGCTAATCCGAGCGAGAGGCTGAGAAGCCCAACAACGAGACCGCGGAGTCCTGGGGTATGCGGATGCCGGAGGTAGCCCACGGTTCCTGAACGCACAGAGAGGTGCGGGACACATAAACAGACTGCTACGAGCACTGGAGCCTGGACGAGACAAGACAGAACTGGTGAGCGATCATACACGGACAGTCAGAGCAAGGGAATAATCACAACAAACTGACAACATACAGAGAAACACGAGGAGCTATAAGGGGAAGCTAATGAGATGACCAGAACCAGGTGTGAAACAAGGAGGGCGGGGACAACGATCATGCTGACATGCTCACGTGGCGAGCTGTCAAAACAAGTCATGCACAACACCCAAACACGGAGACAACAAGAGACAGGTGATCAGACCCGAGACCCGACACT